GAACAATGAAAGGACCATACCAAAAATAGACTTAATACTTTATAAGCACATGTTAGAGATTATTCACATTTATCCCTTAGTAAAACCCCTGACTAATATCTGGTCGATTTTTAATACGTAATGTACACTTCAATATGAAAAGGCAATGGTAGTACCTTCCTCCTAGAAAATTATAAACAATAATTTCAGGAACTTATAAAATACCTGCAAATCAGATGGCAATGTAGTTCTTGTTCTCCGATAGAAAGTAAATCTGAGTTGTTTTTCACAAGATGAAAGAAAGGGGTTGCGAAATTCTCTGACAAACAACAGGTTCGAATAAACAAGACGTATTTTAGTTACGAACTTATTCCAGCTAATAGGATTTACTTTGGGAATGACGACTTGTCAGCAAATTTAATTATCGCTTAGTGAATAAATTTAAAGCTATTTCAAGCTCAAAAACTGATTAGGTTGCCAAATGGCAATGTAAATTAATTGTTTTGCCTCAAGTGAGTTCAGATGATGAATCATGATTAGAAGGATATTTACTTTTATTTAGCAAAGAATATTAATTATGTATTTTAAATAATATTTCCGTTTCAAATCTAATTAAAATTATCTAGCTTTGATAGTTGTCAGTGAGTATTGGTGGACTAAATAATTTTATTGTCTTTATAGCAACCTTACAAAAAATGTAAATGGAGATTTAATTTTGTTTTATCTAACTTTAATAAGTTTGCAGATTTGATTCCAAATCAATCTTTTACGGGTCAAATCACTTTCAACAGAACGTTCTTCATCAATATCAATTTCATTTTTATCAAATTGAATGTACTTTCTTAAAAACAATTTTAAAATAACAAAAATAAAATGTGGCCACTTAAATAATTCCGGTTCATAAGCGTAAATCATTCTAAATTCACGTGCACCTTTGATACAAGCCGCCGAATTAGAAACGGTCGTAAACAATTCCAAAATGAAAGTCACAAAAAGTAGTTTATCATTTACAGACACACACATTGCCTTAAACAAACAAACTAGTAACAGTAACATAGCAGCCAAGGCACAAGTGCCATGCTATACAGGGCAAGGCGATCTGCTATGACAGGCAACGGTAAATGACATGTAGCTGTGAAATGTGAACCAGACAACGCATCATCTTATTTAATACGCTGTGTTTTCGTGAGAGCAATATTATCACTGTGTATTAAAAAAGTGCAGAGTTTAAATGGAAAGCCTAGTTTCGTAATTTACAGATGATGAGGACAATTTAGAGACTTTTAGCTTTACCAACTTTGCAATGCAATATAAACTTAAAAAATCCTTAAAGCGGCTATAAAGTAGCTAGTATGATGCTCTATAATGCTCTATGATGGTTGTCTATCTCTATACCATCGAGATATCTCGATCAAATAGCTCGTATTTTCGGGAAAACTTTATTGTATTCGAATCCAATACCAGATGAGGTACTGATACGAAATTGATCACCTGAGACTATTGTAAAACTAAAAACGTTAGGTCTCGTACCGGTAACTTAATTGTTATTAAAAAAATAAATCCTAGAGGAAATTGTGTAAACTATATTATGATCTATGAGACGGTCATCCATATTTTTTTTTTCACCTTGCATTTGCCCGTCCACATAGACTACAGATCTGTGCGTGGAACGTATCCAGCAAAGCAAGGGGGTGAGCCGGTACAGTACGAAGGTGAACTGTATTGGTAAATTTTAGTGGTTTTATGTCCCTCCTTCAAATTCTAGCCCTAGACCACTTTGCAGATTACTTCAGGCTAGGCATAAAGGGTTTCGGCATTATCTTTGATAAAATCCATTGGTTATTGACGAGATTTTAACCCAGACCTTAGGGACTGAACCCTGTGTTTTACCAATAGACCAGCTAACTCTCCACGTCCAGTCAAAGTAGGAACGAATGCAGAGAAATTACAACCCAAAAATGTCAACCACAGAAATATTTCTCCGAACTCTTTTCTATGACCTTTCTAAGTCCCAAAACCTCACTTTATAACCCGTCTGACCCCAGACTGGTCTGACTCCCTCGTCCAGGACCCGTTTGACTCCTCGGACGCCCCAGACCGGTAGTCCAGGAGTGGCTGTCCCATGACCGGACATAGAGGAATGCGAGAGGAAGTCGCGCCATAGAGAAAGCTGTTATGTTTGAGCGGTAAAAGCTGCCGGGCGCGACCAAGGTCGTCCAAGGAGGTCAGTAGGGCTCAAGAAGGAAGTGGTCGAATTGTAATAATTAAGATCCGGACCATCCGAGGATTGGACTTTTGAAGATGAGACTTGGATGTTCCCGGTGACGTGGAAGGTTATAGAATTTGTTATTTGACAGAGATTTATTTAAGTCTAATACATAATGCAGTCATGGTTTTGGCTTTAAAAACTTAACTTACAACGTTGAAATCAATAGTACATATCGGATATCAACCAAAAAGGGACCTTTCTTTGTATTATAAATTACAATGTTTAACATTTCATCAAACATACTATATTTTCCAATAATTCCATCTTTACTACACTTATATAGTATTCTCATGTAAAAAATGTATGTAGAGCCTCAATAACAATACTCTCCTGGGGATTATAAAAAATCTTGATATCGAGGTTGACTTTGATATTAGGGTTTGTGATAAGAATCCCCTAATCAATAACATGTGATTAGTTATAAAATGTTGAAAATTACACTTGATATAAAGGATTAATAGCTACCTAGGGTACCTATTGTTAACGAGGTTCCACAGTATACACACATTTTATATTGTCTTTGAATGAAATAAAAGGTAATGCTAGAGAAGACCTTTTAAGAGGCGTGTGAGTAAAAATAATGATTAAATTGGTGGAACTATAGAGTATTGGTGTTTAGGAAAAACAATAATGTTCAACTTCAATTAAGTTTTTCGTACGTTCAACTAATAATTACACCATTCACACAGCTACTTAATGTAACGTAAACCCAGCCAAGTAAATATTAGCATTTAACAATCCGATTATGCCAATACAACAAAAATAGGTATCTCAGGTATAAGAACTTTCTCGACGCTTGAGAACTCTCTCCACCAAATACGACAGTTATATTTAAATATGTCAGTACAAAGGTCAGCGAAGACAATGGTCTGTTTAGCGGCGTTTTAAATAGCACTTAAACGAGAAATCGTATACGCGTACAACAATGAGTGATTTGGATCATGACCAAGTTGTAGGTCAAAGCGTTTATCTCCATGTTGGATATGCCTTTGTTGATTTGTAATTCACATTTACTCCCATTGACTTTGGATACTGAATTATACATCCGAGCATAACCTATTCGTTCAATTTAGTAACCATTGGTATATTTCACTAAATTTTAATTAGAATATTTTATTGATTATTTATTAGTCAACTAATCTATTTTTATTTATTAGTCTTTCTATTTTATCTCATTGAATGTCATAGAGTATCTATAGTTGAAGTTACTTCTACTACAAATTTTATTTTATTTTAGTTGTTCAACAACAAACACATGCAACAAAAGTGATAATAATCTGGGTTAAAGGAGAACTGTTAATATCAGTAAAACTTCTATTTTTCTTATACATGTTGTTTTACATTTGACTTTATCGAAATAAGATAATAGATCTTTTTAATTTTAATAACTTTCATAAATAATTAAACATAAATTTATAAAATATTCTGAGGGGTTTGCACTGTAACACTTTGTATATAAAAACTTACAGGAAATCAGTTTCTGGCTGGTTGGAATTATTTCATACCTTGTATATTAAAACTGTGTATATTAATGTGCTAAAACGTTGTAAATGTGTGTAAATATAAACATTACATATTATCTCATTTCCGTTTTATACATACTACAGTGCATCTAATAATCGCACTATTGAGTAAACATAAAAATTTATAATTTTGGTTTTACATAAAATTTGATGAATCATTAAAAGATTGTTAAGTTTTTTTTTTTTTAACTTTTTAGCACATTAATTTTTGATGTTATGTTATTTCAGGGTTACTGTGTTTTTCTTCTATACTCTGTATTTCCTATTTTCACTGACTTTACTTTAAGATTACTTTTTTATCTTACTTTCTTCACTGTCTCTTTACCTTTCTATACCTAACTTTTCGGGGTATTAACATATTGACTAACCAACAACGCACTTTCAGATTGGTTAGTAAATTGCCTTACTGACTTTATCGGTATTTTTTACAGACATCGAATAAATATGTGACGACATCTTATGCATACAGTTTAGGGAAGGGATGGATTTTTCTTAAGATTTTTCATTTTGAAAAAAAAAAAAACTATATTATACTTTTGATTTTACGTTTATAAAACTCTCGATTAGCATACGTGTTAAATATATTTACATCAGTTTGAATATCATTCTCTTTAAAATTATTTATTCAATAACAGTTAAATCATTTTTATCAAAGTCGTGAAATTTAATCAAACTCAAATCAAACAAAGTCGTAAAATTACAAATTATTTTGTTTACCTGTACCATAATCAAGACCATTATCGCAAGGATTGGTAAAGTTTAATCAGCTGCAAATTCTTTTTAAAATGTTTGATATTTCCAAATTCAGCCTTTAAATATTATAAAAACAACATAAATTTTATGTAACAGTGGTTTCCATCAAAAAAGTTATATTTTAAACTAACGAAACAGTTGTGTATACAAAAATAAAAGGTTAGCAAACGTGTTTTCAGTTTAAATATATACCGTAATTATTCAACAAAAGTCCAAAGAAATGTTTTATTTTACACTTTTTTAATTAATAGTAATTTTACTCGTTTTGACGTTTACCAAAACTATCCAACTTGACTACACCTCTGCACATTTACTCTTTTACTAAAAACAAAAAAATATAATTACCTTAAGTACTAAACCTAAACTGACACAAATACCAAAAACATCACACACTGACTTTACCAAGACAAACTTGACCGGGCCCTCACTCTCGAAAACTTGTAAAACTTGCAGCTAACTGAAATGTTCTTTTTCAGGGCTGACGTGTCGAGTTTGTCAAAGCACCTGTGTTTTCGAATCAGACTTTGGTTTCACGTTAAACTGTGCTTTTAAAAAATCTGGGCTTTTCCGAGTGAGGAACCTTGGTGGGGTCAAAGGATACGTCGGACTCGGTAAGGTTCTGCGTCTTTACGCCTCAAACTTGAGGTAATTAGACATTACTCTGTGTCTGGTTGGCTAACTTACTCTATGGTGATAGCTTGTAGCAAAGTGTAACCTTTAACTTGAGGTGATTTGATATTAATCTGTGTCTGGTTAGCTTACTCTATGGAGGTGGCTTGTAGCAAAGGTTAACCTTAAACTTGAGGTGATTAGACATTACTCTGTGTCTGGTTAACTTACTCTATGGTGGTGGCTTGTAGCAAAGGCTAACCTCAACCTTGAGGTGATTAGACATTACTCTGTGTATGGTTAACTTACTCTATGGTGGTTGCTTGTAATTGGGTTTAACCTCAAAATTGTAGGTAATACATATTACTTTGTGACTGGTTAGCTTACTCTATGGTTGTGGCTTTTAGCAAAGTTTAGCCTTAAACTTGAGGTGATTAGAGATTACTCTGTGTCTGGTTAACATACTCTATGGTGGTTGCTTGTGATTAGGTTTAACCTCAAACTAGAGGTGATTAATCATTACTTTGTGTTTGGTTAACTTACTCTATGGTGGTTGCACGTGGTTAGGTTTAACCTAAAAATCTAATGTAGGTAATAGATATTACTTTGTGTCTGCTTAGCTTACTCCATGGTGGTGGCTTGTAACAAAGTTTAACCCCAAAGTTGATGTGTAACAAACGCCAGCGTCTTAAGCCTCAAACTTGAGATACTGTTGTACCTGTTACCAAAGGCCTATATTTTTAAATTTCCAGAATAAACAATAATCCACTGTATTTGGAGCAGATACAAAAACATGTAAATATTATATTATTATTAATTTTGCGATCAATATATCTAAATTTAAATATTATGTTAAATAACAATAACATTTTATTAATTTCTGACTAGTAAAGAAATTTACAAAATGTAACACTAAACCTCAAAATAATTGGAGGAGCTACACTTTTATAATTTGTTCGTCCTACAAAGGAATTGACATCTTTCAATGAACCAATCTCAATATAATGCTTTGGAAATATGTGTAAATTCATCTTATTAAAGCTATGTTTTAAATACATAGCATTAACATAGCAAAATTCATTGTTGTTGTGTAAATTTAAGGACATTTCATGAGGTATCCTGTCATATAGCAATCACCTTTACCCTTTAACCTATTAAATAATCAGATTATACCCACATTGGTCATTAAAAATAGACGGCCACTCTCATTAGAAGTGTATTTACATTTCCTTAAAGATTTCCTCATCATTTAGAAAGTTAGCCTCGTGCAATCATCACAACCGCCAAATAAGAAGAGCTAATAGCTCCCCCTGCAATAAGGATAAGGCGGTAAAAATTCTCTGGGTTAATAAATGTTGGGAAAGAATGTGGAAGAAGTGTGCTTCTGGCCATCTTAATGTTTCCTTTTTTGTTTAGAACATGAGATGCAAGTCCCTATTTATTCGGACCCCATTAAAACAGTCTACTTCATCTGAACATCCATTTGACAATAATTTCTTAAAATTTAATTCAGCTACAAAGAATGCAGCACTCTAAATTATGAAGTTTAGTCCCACGATTATTTTTAGTATGCAGTACCGTGCCCAACTATAGTGATCAGAATGTTACTAGATCCTGAGAAAAATTTTAGCTTTTAAAGTTTAAATTTCCCAGTTATATTTGATAATTGGGCAAAATATAGTCATAAAAAGTGGTCCTGGCTTAGAAAAAAAATTAGAAATAGATGGTCTAAGTGAGTAGGAAAATTAAGGTAACTCACCATGGTCAACATCCATTCATGATTGAGTTATTTTGCATTTGGGTTTAAATATGCCCCATATCAATTGTATGATCATGGTTTTCAAAGCTTCTGTAACTAACTTCTTAACAGTTAATATTTTCCTTTAAAATGTAGAATACACTATTTGATTTTTTCTGTTAAAGGCGTTTACAGAAGGGGTACCGAAAGGGCACCCGAATTTTGCCGCATTTAGAGAAAAGTCAGTAGCCTTTTTAATGGTTAGAAACTTTTTATGGACATGAATAACCAATCCCCGATACCAGTGCGATTCACTGACTGGAGCTTAACCGTCCGATTAGTACGGATTAACGAGGGATTGCTACAATAAGATGAATAATACTACAGATGGTTGGAAAACCACACTTGCAAAAGTGTGTCATATACCGTATCTGTCTGGTGTAAGGGCAAACAGCTGATTCACAGCTGATACTAGTAGATTTTCTCATCAGCTGGGATTTCCAAGGTGTCTGGATTACCAGATTTCGCAACTAAACACCAAGCCTAGTGGAGACCAGTAGAACAACCTCACGTTTATAATGTCAAGCTATCTTAGAGAGAATTCAGTCTTCCCACTCATTCAAGTCTCCAAAGTTTGCGATGATATTTTAAACATTACAATATTTTACCTATGTCTATACATCGATTGACATTTATTTACATTGGCTATATACATGCTGGATGTCTACAGTCAAATGGCGTTTTTAATCCAGTAAAATTAAATTAGACTTACAATTTTAAATAATTTATATATTTTCAGAGCCGACAAAACAAGTAAATAAATAGGCTACTATTGGTTTTTAAATTTCAGTATCTTGGCTGTCAGTGAACGGGTTGTTTTTTTCAATCCAAATTATTGAATGTGTAGGTCTATATATTTAAGCAGAGAGTTCATTGTATAGTAAAGTAATAATTCGATATGTAACTGAAATACAACATGGATGGTGTCATAAAAACATACACCCTAAAATATTTTTGTGAATTCCGTAATAACCTTATCTACAGTTAAATTGTATAATCCTTTAACAGGTTCAACAAACATAGAAAGCTATGCTACATAGTACAACTATAGTACATAAATAGCAATTTCTATATATAATTCTAAATACAACGTTACTTTTTAATATACAAGAACGTGTTCACAAATTATATTCTTCATAATCATTCATATCATACTGGGACCATCTTTTGAACCAATAGGAAGACTTAATTTAACAAATCCGTCGGTCTGCACACCTGGCAAGAAACAAAATTTTGATATTGCAATTATAGAACTAATAAAGTTTTCAAGATCTGAAAAGACCTTAAACCGTGTTATCTTGACCTAGGTCAAGGAGACAGTTGAGTGTATGACGTAGTTGTGACCTAGAGGACGTGCTAGGTGTACCGTGCAGTGCGTCACGTCCGGACGTGTTGGAACATGCACGTAATAAATTCTCACGTGGCTCCTACCGTCCTAGCTGATGGCCACGAATTTGTAAGGTCCACCGAGGCATCCTGTTAGCCATTAGTGGGGTATTGAGAGGAATTCATCTGGTGTCCTGATAGCCACGATGGCGGGCCAGGTAGACGTTGTCAGGATGGCAGCTTACAGGGAAAACGGGAAATTTAAGCTCCCATTTCTCCCTGTTGCGACTTAAAGTAGTGTCAAATTGTTACAAAAACCTTGTACATATACAAACATACAAAAGGGGTAATTTCTAGACCCTCTAAAAATACATTCCGTTTGGTCTAACATACAAATTAAAAATTAACCATATGTTTGTCGAATGAAATTGAAGGTCAAGTTTATGTGATGTATAAGGTATAGTGTTGTCCATCAGAGAAGCCGTTGTACTGTGGCTTAAATCAACATTTTTCCTACAAACTAAAAATACCCATACCTATGTCAGCTATGTTCATATGTGAGGGAAAATCGAATTCCCGTTTCTCCCAGATTCATCCCAGCTACCGTGCCCCGGCGTCGTGGGATCATGAAACAGAAATGACCCCCTGACCTAAAGCCCATTACTGTGACTATCAAGATACATTGTAGGGCCATAGAAATCGTGGCTATCGGTAAGCGCCCCCCTCACACAACTATCCCACCCCCTTGATTCACAATTTTAATTGAGGACATGACAAATGTTTACAAGTAACTCCTTCGTAGCTTATATTACTTTATTCTCAAATTCACTTATGATCCAGTAATATAAGTACATTCACACAACCATTGCATAATGTCTTGACTTATTCTCCATTATTATTGAATTTTGGATAAATTACTGGGAATATCAATGCTTCTGAATTCAAATAAATTTATGCAACGCCGAACTCAAAACTTCACAAGTTTGATGACATCACTGAGTTTTCTAATCTCGGATAGTTAAATACAAGGTTAACATCCAGTTTAGTAAAACCACGTCTTTGCCATAACATTTTGCATGTAGTTGGGTAGTTTGATAATGTAATTACCTTTTTATATAACAGGTTTATGTGCCGTAAGACTTAAACAGGTTGCTCAAAATTACAAGGGTGCAGAAGTCTACTAATTACGATCAATCAATAAATATCCATTTTGTACACATTTTAATTGAATAAATTCTTAATCAGCATCGTACGTGTTATTAAATTACCTAAAAACACAACAATACGTCAAATTACACTTATAATAATAGATGTACTCACAAGACGGTAAATACATATAAAAGGTGGTAAGTGGTGATCGGTTTTGATTGGAAGTCATCATCAGGCCCAATAGGCGAATAATAGGCTACCCATTCGTCTATTTTGATAATGATTGGAGTGTACAATCGAAATCGATCCCCACTAATCGTACACTCACAAGACGGTAAATACATATAAAAGGTGGTAAGTGGTGATCGATTTCGATTCTACACTCCAATCATTATCAAAATAGGCGAATGGGTAGCCTATTATTCGACTATTGGGTCTGATGATGATTGGAGTGTCCAATCGAAATCGATCACCACTTACCAACTTTTATATGTATTTACCGTCTTGTGAGTAAACAGTATAAGTGTAAATATATAATCATAAGTGTTATTTGACGTATTCTTGTGCTTTTAGGACCCTTTAATTAGCTTCATAACAACTCAAATGAGGCAATCTAGTAAATTGGTTAAAACAGATAAATCTTCTACTATCACACGTCAGAGAAAATCCCTTTTAACTTTATAGACAGTTGTAGCATACAACTGAAGGTTATGTAAAAAATTACAAGTTGGAATTTTTACTATGACTTGTATTTCCTAAAAGTAAAAAGAAACTAAAAAATATATTATGTGTGTTTTAGAAAATGTTTTAACACATTAACTAAACTTGTATAATAACCGTAGTATAGTGAACAAATGCTTTATAATCTGTACAAAACAGAATAACTAATTTTAAAAATTGCCTACCACAAAAACTGTCTCCACAATTAAGAAACAACCAGATTAACTGCAGTAGTTTACAAAGTAATGACTCCCACGGCTATTACTTAATTACTGTAGTTTGTTGCTAATTATTAGCCTTGGTAATGGGCAAACATTGAGATAAGCATGCAACTGGTTTGCGGGAGTAATAAACAAACAATCCATAATAGGAGCAGGTTCATTGAGCTTACAGATTGTTACTTGCACTAATTTTATACTAGGTAAAATGTTGACGCTTTGTAATGGTTTTGCAGAGACATCTTGGATTAGTACAAATTAACTATAGGAATTAAAATATGCTGTGTTATCGAATAAGCTTTGGATTTAGTTTTTACTTAAATTGTATACATTAGAATAAATTTATTCTTAAGTAGACTGCATCTATCTTTGTGTATTTTTTTTAAGTTTCCATTTTTTCTTAATTAAACTCGTTTACAGTTTATTGTTGTTACTGCTTGGCTTTCTATAAAAAATTTAATTCAATTGAACATTTTGTTCACGAATACAGTATTAGACTTACTTGTAATATTTTTTCAACGACAACTGGTGTGTATTTTGCCTAAGCCGAGAACAAAACTTTAAGGGGGATTTTAGCGGCCCATAATGGCCCCCATAGCATAATGTTATGATCTCAATAGTGATATTATACACCAAAGTAATCTGAAATATCACAAGAATATTTGCGTACATTTTTTGAAGTAATGCCAATTCATGCAAACTATAGACAGTGACAAATCCTGATTTTAATTAGACTCACTAAGTCTATTTTTCATACAATTATAGAGGACCGTGCTTTTAGTAGTCACTATTTCCGCTGCAACGCTTGTCAAGTGTAATTACTAACTAAGAACAAATTGTACTTAAAGTAAGTCAGTCTACAAAAGGAAATCCTGAATTTGAGTTGAAAAAAACTCTCCATTTATCTATGAATTTTTGTAGAATATTCTTCATTTGCTTTTTGTACAAGTTTTTCCAGTTTTTAACCAGAATACATTTTCAGGGCTCAGTATTGGAGATGAACTCGGGTTCAAACAATCGCTTTCTACCTTGGAGAGCAGTAGAAGAAGGTCTACAGATGGGCAAACTGCTCCCAACAGTGTGGACAACCAGGAGGTCAGTGGCTCTACTTAAGTTCTTAACTACTTAAGTAGTACTTAAGTTTAGGGGGGGGGTCGATGAATGGTAGTTTAAGTATTCTAAGATCGATGTTGAAGTGGGAAGAGAACGAAACTGGATCCAAAGTAGTAGACATTTTGGTACATATTTAAATTAGTACATAGGTCAGTAGCTGTATCTAAAGTAACGTTAGAATATTATTTCTCTGGAACGCATATGCCTATGGGGTCTGTGGTAATGCTTATGTAAAATACCATGGCTCGTTAGGGAATATAAAGTAACAGTTTATGGTACGGTTGCGGAATCGAAAGTAGAAGTCGTTGATTGAAAGAAGTTGTTGAAATTGACGATTCCGTAGATTTGCATGGATAAACATACTCGCTTAGTAGATTTGACATCCTTATGGAAAAGCTGATGACAATGTAATTGTTAGTTGTGTCCGGTGCCACTAGGATCGTTTACAATTTTGTTTCTTGTTATTTAAGCTATTTAAAGCCTCGTTTACCCAAATAAAACGATCTAATTGTAAACAATAATTCGTCCCCTAGTTTTATAACCAGTAAAGCACAAATCATGAAACTACCCCCAAAAATATAGTATATTATTTTCGACACTAGCACCCAGTGTCACCAACATGAACTATACGAAAAAACAGGCTTCAAATTTTACAATGGGATGAGAAGTCTACTAGTGTTTCTTAGTCGATGATATTGTGAAGTAATTACAATAAAACTGTTGCCCAGTTGTTGGATTTTAAGGAAAAGTTGTCAAGTTTATAGATAAACATAATTAAAATAGCTCAAGTCGTTACCGTAAGGCAGAAGTCGAGAAGTCGGTGGATGAATCTAAATTAATAGTAAATCTAAATAGTAGTTGAGTCTCCATAATCAAATTGAGCTTGTCACTTAACAATTAAACATGTCTAAAAATGTCTTTCGTTTTTAACATTTTTTACAATTCTCTATATTGTAAAAAAATGCTTAAAAACTTCACGGAAAACTTTGTCTAACAATGAAACAGATTGTTTTCAAATGTATATAATTATTTTATTTATTTACTAACCTATTTTAAAATGCATAATACTAAATGATTCATTATTCAAATGAAGCAAAAAATATGTTCCCTAATGTATCTACATAAACAAAATACATTCCTGCCAAACAATAAGATTCCATACAAATAATCACTGGACTTACGATTACATAATCATTTAAAAAATGTAGTTTATGTAATTCAATGTCATTAAATGAAACTTGCTAACCTTCATCACATTATAGCTATCTAGGTCACTACATGGTGTGGTCAGTCATTAACTATGTCGCCACTGGCGGGCGATTGACAAGTTATGTACCGCATATTGTACTAATAAAATGTTAAACTTACTCAATTATTAAGCGTTCTAAATTAATTTACTCTTTAATAAGACTCTATATTGATGCTATCTTGAATTTTAGTTCGAATAGAATTTAATGATTACATACAGTAATTAGATTCTATTTAAACTAAAATTCAAGATAGCATCAATATAGAGTCAACTTTATTGACGTATTTCGTGAATGTTGGTACCATTATTTGAACGTTTTTTCCACTCCAAAATTGTCGTATGAAATGAATGCAATAGGGGTTTGTAGTCACCTCAACCAACAATCAGTATATTTGTATGAATAAAATGTTTAATTGTGTACTGCACGAACCAAAATTAAATCAAATTGTCAATGGACTTAATCATAAGAATGGCCGAAAGAATGACTTAAATATTGTATAATCATTCTATTTTTGTATAACACTAAAAAATCACAGTATATTCGAACACAATTTCGATAAACTAAATGCAAAACGAATATTAATCATTAAAAATGTTTAGCATCTTTGGTTTTTGTTACTCTTGTTGTAAGAGAGTGATACACAGTACTAGAAAATAGCAACATTAAAAAATAACAACAGGAGTGTTTTAGGAGGTAAACTGGCTTTTTTAATTGATAATAATTACAGTAATAATAAGTTTTTTCCTTACTGGTTACTGAACTATTAAAGTTTATACACCACTAGTAGTTAGTCTCCCTAATGCGTCCTAATAGGGTTACAATATTTATTTTAAATAAATAAAAAATAGAGCTACATTTTAATCAAATCCAAACTTAAGGCTCTTTTCATATTAAATGACCCAACTACATTAAAAATAGTTTCTTGAACGTAATTTTCAACTACTGTAATTATTTCAAAGTACTGTATGCTACGAGTGCTTCTTACGTTGCATTGGAATGTTTACAATTTGTAATTGCTTTAAACATGTGATCGATTATATCCTTACAAGGTTTCCTGCCTGGTTTTACAGTCCGGCCAGCCTGGCCTGTAGCCTACTACAGACATGTGACATCACATTAGTATGTGGGAGGTTGTTTACCCAACCAAGGCCTTAGAATGGGAACACAATGTCCAAGTTTATAGGTTAAAGTCTAGAACATCAAGAGAAAAAGATTACTTTGAAAATGTTATAACATTGTTGTCGTCGATATGTACATAAGGTATAATTACATACGGTTGTCGTACAATTTGAAGATATTTCTTAACTCTCCACTCATTAATACGTTGATCTACTAAACTCTCTGTTTATTTCTGTTAATAATTTGAATAATTGTTTTTTGTTTAACCAGTAGGAAAATATTTTCTTTATTACGCAGGAAACCCGTAGTTATTGATACATGCGTAGCAGGGCTGAAGTAATCATTTTGTTACCAGCGCAAAAAAGCTGTTGAAGTTGAAAACAATAGCCGTTTTCGTGGCTGTACATTTTCCCTTCACAATCTTCATAGCTGATTTTTAATAATTGTGTTTATTATGTATTACAGTACACGGCATTTGTACATCATACACTCATTAGTTGAAATTTAAAAATATTTTAGTATTTTTAAATTAAACGCGTCAGTGGACAAATATGTGATTTATTTACTTCAAATTATGAAACCAGCGCTAATTATGTCCAATCCTTATTCATAAAGAGTTAATTTTGTATACTGAATATCGTGTTTTAGTTTTTTTTTTTCTCAAATAAGAGGTAAAATAATTTTCCTATCGTGTAGGATTACCAACAATGTAGACCTAACTTAATGGCAAAAAGATGTTCGAATACTCAATTTTTGCCCCAATATTCAAATGTGAATATTTCCACCTGAAAAGAAAGCCGAAAAACACACAACGCAAATTGTACGGTATTAGACCCTACTTAGTTTATGCGCCGAATCTGAGGTCGTGAACTTTGAATGGAAAATTACACGTTTTGAATCGAAGATCACGAGCATTTCCGTCGTGAGTCACTGGTTCTACAACACATAGCTCACGAGCACGAGACGAGCATGGCACGAGCAGTCAGCATTGAGCATGAGCATGAGTGATGTGTGGGAAGCTATTACGACCTCCCAAGGTACATGAGTGATCATACTCATCATAAATAATCATAGACAGGAGCCTGAGAATCATATGGCGGTGTCATTGTCGGGGGAAATAGAAGATACAATGTTGCACGAGAGAAATCATAGTACAGTGTAACTATGATGGGTGTTATTTATTTGGAAACAATGTACTCAAATTGCTTTGATTAGCGTGTGCGTGGATCGGCTTTGATTGGTTCATAACTATGTAAAGTCAGTAGGATCAAGTATAAGGTCACTATGTGAGGTCAGTAGTTGTTGTAGGGTAAGTATGATTATTGGGGATTTTTTTACCTCATCAACTATAATCACTTAAGCAATATACAATATGGGTTACTATTTTAAGGTGAATATTGATGCAGAGTAAGTGTAATTACTTAATTTACCTTAAGCTCGTGATTTTATCCGGCTCGAAGGACCAAAATGAACAATTCCAGTGTGTCCAACATTGTTTTTGTATAAAAATGCATTAAATCACATAAAAAATGAAACTTTATATAACTTGAAAATAAAGCATGACTTGCTTGTAAGAACTGTACACATTTAATGACTTAATGTTTTTGTTTTTGTTTGACAAATAAACATTCAATCATATGTTAATTTAAAAACAGTCTGTTAGGAGATTGAACAGGAAGTATAAATGTAAAGGAATTCTTTTGGTTTGCTGATTGGTTATAGTGCTTATTTAACCAGTATATTGCCTATTTAACCCTTATAAAAGTCAGTAGCTTTTAGATGGTTTTAAACTGAAGTCAAATTTTCTTTGTTTAATATTTATCACACGGATTTAATATAATGGTTTTGGATATTGGAACAGTTTCTTTAAGTCAATAACAAAGATACATAAACATCTCACACTATTATACATTCATCCTCCGGTAAAAAAAATACGAAGCATGTCTCAATGTGATTATTTTATGGTAAGCAAATTAACTTTATTCCTATTATCGTGGTGATTCTGCATTTTTTTATTATTCACAACTACAGTACCATTAAAATCATGTTCAAGTATTGGAAGGACGCATTCCCATATAAGTGGTTAAAACAGATTTTTTTGTCTACTAACTGGCTAACCACACTAGCGACATTTCTTAGTTTTCATTGTTATTACACAAAGAGGCCGTTTTTCAAAACCTGCAGTAAAATGCCAACTTTAATAAGACAATTTCTCTACTGGTTTAACACCAATATTGCACTGGGAGATATGGACTTGTGGTTTCTCCATCGTGGAAAATGACATCAATTTGGAGCAAGAGAATCAACCTTTCCTAGAATTGGACTCAACCACCAAGACTTGGCTGGTTCGTGTTAGTTTCTTCATTTTACTCGGTTGTCTATTTCATTTCTACGCAAAAGAGAAAATTTCTTCAACCTATCATAGGATATTCCTGAAAGATTACCTGAATATATACGGAAACGTATGTTCTATATGTGTTAATTCCGACTAAACCAATAACACTTTTAACATTTAAAAAAATAGAATATATGATTACGAACAGTTCATTGGAGCAAAACTAATAAAAGTACATCTGAAATTCATAACAGTGAATAGTTCATTTCAGTAGTCAA